CTCAATGGAGATTCTTAATGGAGAGCAGAATACTGAACATCGAGGGAAACTGACTGTTGATGTTCCCTGATTTTTACTCATCAAATTAATATTCACAAATTTAAATCAAGTGTCTCATCTTGGTGACGGAATGTTGTTCTTTGAGACCGACTCTTACCCTCTCTCCTTTGCCCACCCCCTGTTCTCTACAGGAGCCGCATAGCCTCCAGTTCCAGGGGCAGCGGAGCCTCCAGTTCCAGGGGCAGCGGAGCCTCCAGTTCCAGGGGCAGCGGAGCCTCCAGTTCCAGGGGCAGCGGAGCCTCCAGTTCCAGGGGCAGCGGAGCCTCCAGTTCCAGGGGCAGCGGAGCCTCCAGTTCCAGGGGCAGCGGAGCCTCCAGTTCCAGGGGCAGCGGAGCCTCCAGTGGAGAGCCCAAACTGTCAGAGGCAGCAGGGGCCTTCCAGACCAGAGAAGGGCCTTTGGCAGAGAGCTCTGCCTCTGAGTATGGTGAGGACTGGAGTGGCCTAGTGGCCATGATTGTTAGTGTTACTGTCCTCTACGGGATTCCATGTGTAGCACTGATCAGGAAAACTGCATTAGTTCCACTAGTTCTGCCATATTGCTCCCACCTAGACAACTGAGCCTCATATTGACCCTTTCTTCCTCTCCCCTCCTTCCTCTCCCCTCCTTCAATACCAGTGGCTGTGTCGGAGCCCCCCGACCAGAGCAGGTCTGCTGCTTCCCACTCAGACCCAGAGTGTGAGGCTGGGGGTGCCTCCTTCTCCAGCATCCAGGGCTCCACGCTGGCCCAGGCCCCAGCACAAGCCTCCTCTGTGGGGGATAGTGTGACTGCCACGCCCCTGGAGAGGAGCCAGGGTGTGGGTGCAGAGGACACCACTGGGGGGTGCAGGAGAGAGGAGCCTGCGGGGGAGGGGGGGCATGGGGGTCCGACAGGGCCAGGGGGGCAGGGGGTTCCAACGGGACCAGGAGGGCAGGGTCAACCCTCCCGTAGCAACCAGGACTCAGACGACAGCGATGACGACCCAATTCTTATCCCCTCTGCGAGGTACAGAGGAGGACAAGGACAGAGGTACGGACAACAACACACACACAGTATTTTGATATGTTGTTGTGGAGTATCACATTTAATGTCACGTCCTCTGTATATTGTCGTGAGGACACTTTTTCTCATTCTATGTGGTTATCTACTGTTAATGATTCTGATATAAACATAGGTCTAATTTCAGAGGATCAGCGGTAGGAGATAGGATGATCAGGTAACGTCTGTGTGCCCACAACTAAAACATCTAACCTGCAAGGAGTGCAGTGCTCATTGAAAAACTTTTACCTCCAAAACTACAGCTCCCATGAGTCCAAGCAAACCCCCCTGAGACACTACTGTAGTCTACAGGACATGGTGTTTGTAGTTTTCACCAGCAGGATTAAGCCTTGTTTGTGTGATGGGCACTTTTGTGAAACACTAATCGTGTGAGCATGCATATGCATGTGTGTACCACCATCATTCACTAAGAGGACAGCTATTAGCTACATTATCCCTGTTAGGTACATAGTGATGTCACAAGGGTAACAGCCAACACCAGAGATGCAACAACCAATGAATGAATGGAGCCCTACATACAGTGGGGAGAACAAGTATTTGATACACTGCCGATTTTGCATGTTTTCCTACTTACAAAGCATGTAGAGGTCTGTAATTTTTATCATAGGTACACTTCAACTGTGAGAGACGGAATCTAAAACAAAAATCCAGAAAATCACATTGTATGATTTTTAAGTAATTCATTACTTAAATCCCCACTGTACCCTGGAGAAAAATGTAGTACCTGGCCTACTCATTGTTTGCTCACAACAAGAGTGATAAGAGAAGAATAGAGAGAGGAGATAGATATTGGCTACAGTGTGAAGTGAAATAAGCACATTGTCACCTCTACAGTATGTGTAGGGTTGTAGAGTACTGGTGACGGTCAGTTAGCGTGGCATGTGAGGTAGTATTTGCTGCTTTTTTTTGCTGATTCTTTTCCCATGTGCTGTTTTGGTCGCTTCAGCGTCATCGAGGGGTGAATCAGCATGACGCTCAGAATTCACTTTCTTCTCTGCAGGGATAGAAATATATTTACTGTCAATACTGTGTATAACGTGTGTATGTGTCACAGACGCTCAGCTGCGGCCCGTATCCAGGAACTGTTTCGTCGGAGGAAGGAGAGGAGAGAGATGGAGGAGAGTGAGACCCAGAATATCAGGAGACCCTCAGTCAAAATGGTCTACAAGGGCCACCGCAACTCCAGGACTATGGTACGCTAATTTTCACTTCCTGACTTCGGTTACTTCTGGTTGCTCGTTTCCAGCTGATTCTAGATCAGCTTCCCCCTTCACCAACCCCTACTGAAAACATAATGCGGAGAGCAACAAACTGACCCTGGGCCAGATGTAGAGAGGGATCCCAGCTGCTGAGCGAACTATCCTCCTGGTTTAATATAATTAGATAAATAAATAAATATATACAGGACAAGTCAAAAGTTTGGACACACCTACTCATTCAAGGGACTTGCTTTATTTTTACTATTTTCTACATTGTAGAATAATAGTGAAGATATCAAAACTATGAAATGACACATATGGAATCATGTAGTAACCAAAAAAGTGTTAAACAAATCAAATATTTGCGCACACTTGGCATTCTCTCAACCAGCTTCACCTGGAATGCTTTTCCAACAGTCTTGAAGGAGTTCCCACATATGCTGAGCACTTGTTGGCTGCTTTTCCTTCACTCTGCGGTCCAACTCATCCCAAACCATCTCAATTGGGTTGAGGTCGGGTGATCGTGGAGGCCAGGTCATCTGATGCAGCACTCCATCACTCTCCTTCTTGGTAAAATAGCCCTTACACAGCCTGGAGGTGTGTTGGGTCATTGTCCTGTTGAAAAACAAATGATAGTCCCACTAAGCGCAAACCAGATGGGATGGCGTATCGCTGCAGAATGCTGTGGTAGCCATTCTGGTTAAGTGTGCCTTGAATTCTAAATAAATCACAGACCGTGTCACCAGCAAAGCACCCCCACGCCATCACACCTCCTCCTCAATGCTTCACGGTGGGAACCACACATTCGGAGATCATCCATTCACCTACTCTGCGTCTCACAAGGACACGGCGGTTGGAACCAAAAATCTCAAATGTGGACGCATCAGACCAAAGGACAGATTTCCACCGGTCTAATGTCCATTGCTCATGTTTCTTGGCCCAAGCAAGTCTCTTCTTATTATTGGTGTCCTTTAGTAGTGGTTTCTTTGCAGCAATTCGACCATGAAGGCCTGATTCACACAGTCTCCTCTGAACACTTGATGTTGAGATGTGTCTGTTACTTGAACTCTGTGAAGCATTTATTAGGGCTGCAATTTCTGAGGCTGGTAACTCTAATGAAATTATCCTCTGCAGCAGAGGTAACTCTGGGTCTTCCTTTCCTGTGGCGGTCCTCATGAGAGCCAGTTTCATCATAGCGCTTGATGGTTTTTGCGATGGTTCTTGAAATGTTCCGTATTGACTGACCTTCATGTCTTAAAGTAATGATGGACTGTCGTTTCTCTTTGCTTATTTGAGCTGTTCTTTCCATAATATGGACTTGGTCTTTTACCAAATAGGGCTATCTTCTGTATACCCCCACTACATTGTCACAACACAACTGATTGGCTCAAACGCATTAAGAAGGAAAGGCACACCTGTTAATTGAAATGCATTCCAAGTGACTACCTCATGAAGCTGGTTGAGAGAATGCCAAGAGTGTGCAAAGCTGTAATCAAGGGTGGCTATTTGAAGAATCTCAAATATAAAATATATTTTGATTTGTTTAACACTTTTCGAGATGCTTTGAAAGCATTTATAGTTCCTTTGCCTCCTCCAATTATTTATGTGTGTTGTCTGTAGATCAAGGAGTCGTGTTTCTGGGGGAACAACTTTGTGATGAGCGGTTCAGACTGTGGCCACATCTTCATCTGGGACAGACACACGGGCGAGCACCTGATGCTGCTGGAGGCCGACAATCATGTAGTCAACTGTCTCCAGCCACACCCCTACGACCCCAGTGAGTTACAGTACACCCCATACACCTTCAACCACGCCCCTACACCCATTACAGCCGCACCCCTATGACCCCAGTGAGTTACAGTACACCCCATACATCTTCAACCACGCCCCTACACCCCTTACAGCCGCACCCCTACGACCCCAGTGAGTTACAGTACACCCCATACACCTTCAACCACGCCCCTACACCCATTACAGCCGCACCCCTACGACCCCAGTGAGTTACACTTCTATATCTAGAGCCACACCTACAGTATACACCCACACCTCTGTAACCCCAGTGAGTAACACACACCTACCCTAGTCTCACCCCTACACCTTCAACCACACCCCGGTGAGTAACACACACCTACCCTAGTCTCACCCCTACACCTCAACCACACCCCGGTGAGTAACACACACCTACCCTAGTCTCACCCCTACACCCCAACCACACCCCGGTGAGTAACACACACCTACCCTAGTCTCACCCCTACACCCCAACCACACCCCGGTGAGTAACACACACCTACCCTAGTCTCACCCCTACACCTCAACCACACCCCGGTGAGTAACACACACCTACCCTAGTCTCACCCCTACACCTCAACCACACCCCGGTGAGTAACACACACCTACCCTAGTCTCACTCCTACACCCCAACCACACCCCGGTGAGTAACACACACCTACCCTAGTCTCACCCCTACACCTCAACCACACCCCGGTGAGTAACACACACCTACCCTAGTCTCACCCCTACACCCCAACCACACCCCGGTGAGTAACACACACCTACCCTAGTCTCACCCCTACACCCCAACCACACCCCGGTGAGTTCCCTAGCTACATCTTCAGCCTTGTATAAAGAGGCGATTATGTCACACCCCCTTCCCCTTAACTGTCGTACCCTATTGCCAACAGTTTGTCTTCTGTCTGTTCCAGTTCTTGCCTCGTCAGGGATCGACTACAATATTAAAATCTGGTCACCTCTGGAGGCGTCGCCGTCCTTTAACAGAGTCCTAGCTGACGAGGTATGTTTGGTAAACGATTGATTCAACCTTAGTGACAGACAGTGGGTAGACTTGGGTTCACTTCTGTCTCATCCAGTAGAGGGGGTGGATTCCCCACTGTGTGAGACTTTCCCCATAGAGTCTCTGGTCCTCTACAAGAGCTCTAACAACAGCTGACTGGAGACGCCTTGCCCCAGGAGGCTTACCTATCCCTCCCTGTACCCTCCCTCATTACCCACCTCTGTTCTCTCACCTCCCTTTTTTTCTCCCCTCCCTATTAGCTTTTCTGTTCCCACTCCCACGTTACCCCTTCTCCGCCCTCCCTTACCATTCAACTGCTCTCACCAGTCCCACTCCCAACTTCAGAGGATGATAGAAATCACATTATCTTTTGATGTTTCTGATTTACTGGTAGCATTTGCTTTCTTTTACCTTCTCTCCATCTCCCTCTTTCCCTTTCAGGTGATCACGCGTAATGAGTTGATGCTAGAGGAGACCAGGAACACCATCACAGTCCCCGCCTCCTTCATGCTGCGAATGCTGGCCTCCCTTAATCACATAAGAACGGGTAGAGGCTTACTCAGTTAAATTTTGCTAGTAGTTTTTGTTATATTAACTTTCTCTTTCGTGAATTGATTCTACGGTGTTTTGGAAATCAGTTGACTAATAAACCAATAGAAAGTGCATGTGGAAGTATTTATGTACTTCTTGATGTACTTTTGGACCCTTGAGCCCGGGCTGAGTAAGCTTCTTACCGCTGAGATTTACTGGTTCACCCACTCAATTACTAGCCTGGTTGCCCGTCTCTGTTCAGCTATTACATTCCACTCCTTGTACTCTGTAATTCGCACAAAATCCAGCTGTATATTGAACGTTGAGATTACCAAAAGGCCAGTCCCTTTGGCAAAAGGAGTGGAATGTTACGAACTAGTACCCAGACTACTCAATTACCAGCAACCAGTTATGAAACTTCCACTGCAGTCCCCACAAGCTAGGTACAGTAGGAAATGGGTTTAGGGTTGCGTTCATCAGGCACAAAATGGAAGAAAACTGACTGAAATAGGGGGGAACTACCTGGACTTGTCCAATAAGAAATGGGGGTTTTTCACACACTCACTTTGTTTTTCCTCAGATCGCTTGGAGGGTGACCGCTCAGAAGGTTCTGGACAGGAGAACGAGGGTGAGCAGTAGCTGCCCGGACACCATTTTATTTGAAAAAGAAAACAATTTTTTTCTTTTGCTCTAAAAAGCACTTGAAGATCTTGAGATTTGTACAAGTATTATGTAGAATATTTCCTTATCTGAGCATTAGTTACATTTTTAGCTCTTCTTTTTTAAGATGACTTTCTTACTGGTGTGTCTGTATGAGAACTGCATGTGAGGAAAAGTGTGTGAATGCAAGCGCAAAGCCAGACTCATATATGTATATGTATGTATGTATGTGTGTACAGTTGAAGTCGGAAGTTTACATACATTAGGTTGGAGTCATTAAAACTCGTTTTTCAACCACTCCACAAATGTCTTGTTAACAAACTATAGTTTTGGCAAGTCGGTTAGGACATCTACTTTGTGCATGACACAAGTAATTTTTCCAACAATTGTTTACAGACAGATTATTTCACTTATAATTCACTGTATCACAATTCCAGTGGGTCAGAAGTTTACATACTCTAAGTTGACTGTGCCTTTAAACAGCTTGGAAAATTCCAAGGAAAATCAAAAGAAATCAGCCAAGACCTCAGAAAAATTATTGTAGACCTCCACAAGTCTGGTTTATACTTGGGAGCAATTTCCAAATGCCTGAAGGTACCACGTTCATCTGTACAAACAATAGTACGCAAGTATAAACACCATGGGACCACGCAGCCGTCATACCGCTCAGGAAGGAGACGCGTTCTGTCTCCTAGAGAAGAACATACTTTGGTGCGAAAAGCGCAAATCAATCCCAGAACAACAGCAAAGGACCTTGGGAAGATGCTGGAGGAAACAGATACAAAAGTATCTATATCCACAGTAAAACAAGTCCTATATCGACATAACCTGAAAGGCCGCTCAGCAAGGAAGAAGCCACTGCTCCAAAACCGCCATAAAAAAGCCAGACTACGGTTTGCAACTGCACACGGGGACAAAGATCGTACTTTTTGGAGAAATGTCCTCTGGTCTGATGAAACAAAAATAGAACTGTTTGGCCATAATGACCATTGTTATGTTTGGAGGAGAAAGGGGGTAACTTGCAAGCCGAAGAACACCATTCCAACCGTGAAGCACGGGGGTGGCAGCATCATGCTGTGGGGGTGCTTTGCTGCAGGAGGGACTGGTGCACTTCACAAAATAGATTGCATCATGAGGAAGGAAAATTATGTGGATATATTGAAGCAACATCTCAAGACATCAGTCAGGAAGTTAAAGCTTTGTCGCAAATGGGTCTCCCAAC